ACAAATGTATTACAATAATGAATCAGGTTATAGGAAAATACTGACCACTCTTCCATTGACACAGGAACTCTTACTGTTACATTCACTGCACAGAAACACTAAAGCAGCCTTCTCTAAAACGGCCACTAGATATACAAGGAACTGTACCATCACAAGGGCTCCTAAATTTCCATCCATTCCCAATGCTTGTTTCCTGTGAACACATCAGAAAAGGTGCATATCTATGGATTCAAATTTTAAAAAAACACAAGAAAACTTTCTCTAGTTTCTCCACTAGTATTATGGAAAGGTTTAGAAGTATTAGTGCCAACTCCAACTTCCTACAGTTTTCAAGACATTAGGTAACAAATTTACAGAACATGGTTGCACTGTCTTCCTCACATCAACTGCCAAGAACCATGGATCTAACCTAGCTCCATCCCAACTTTTGGGATTTCTTTACACTTTCATAGAGAGTCAAAATGTTCCTATTTCTTAACAGGAGTATTCACAGTAGAAATGTGAACTTACTGGTGACAGATGTTATATATACAGGTTATAAAGACAACCCTGTATATTTATTTCATAATTAGAAAACTGTCTTGAAGTTTTATTGCTTTTTTACTGCTTCTATATTTTTATATTAGCATGAAAACAAAACTAGATTCTTCCATTTCATTTTTCTAATTGACTTAGCATTATCTGATGACAGGTTTGTAGGGTTTTTAGAACTATGCCTAGCAGAAAATCTGTTTGTAATGGGCATTCAAAAAATGGTATCTGACTGAATTAGAGGAGGAAATCACCCCTTGCTTATTTTCTATATGATAATTTCCTCATAACCAATCTTTCTGGTTATATAGCTTTTAGGCTGAGTTCTCAAGGATCATCTACAGATATATGATAATCACTGGTTTTAACTGCATCTAAAATGAAATATGCTGTTTATCTTATCTCAAGACACTCTTTTTTGGAGGTTATGTAAAGCAAAATACTTTTTCACCACTGCTTTCCAGTTAAAAACTCAACTGGTTTCTAGTTACAGTCTCAACCTTAGACTATTAAATGATGTTAACAATCAATTCCTAAAGAACTCCTATTTTTCTTAACTAAAATAAAAATTTAAGACAGATGGATTAAAAATAGAATTAACTTATATTCCATCACAGAGAGGAAACACTCTGATTTTCCATTTCTTAAGGGTTTCCTCTCAATGTGATAATTTATCATAGAACAAAAGAAAAATATATATAAACAAAATGTGGTACATTCACATTTTCAATAGATGATGTTAAAAAATGTTTTTAAATATACACTGTAGGACAATTATTATTTATAACATAAAAAGATGAAATCACAATTTTATACTGCCTTTTAATCCATGAATATCTAATTTGTTGTCCAGACTTCTCATTTTGGAAGTTAGGAAATACTAAAGATTGCAATTTTTAAAAACACGCAAAGCTAGTTTTGTAAGACAGGAAAGTACCCCTGTTCCATTATGGACCGGGCTGTAGTGCTACAGTGATTTCTGGGGGCTTTGTTCACATAGAAAAAAAGACGATAAACTGTTTTATGTTTTCAGTTCTGGGATTTAAAATATCAATGTTCTTTTTACCCTCTAGATTTTCTTCAGGCCTAGAAAGCGCACACACACACACACACACACACACACACACACACACACACACACAGCGTGGTGCATGCAGGATAAGAAGCCCTCCTCTGTCAGTATGTTTACAAATCCTGAATTTGCTCCCTCTGGTGAATACTTCTAACATCCTCAAAATGAAGTCACAGATTCCTAGGTCAACCACCTCAGACCTCCTCTATCAGATTCTGAGACACGAGCCCTGGCATTTACATTCCTTAATAAGAATTTAAGTTACTTTGAAATACCCCAACCCTACAAACATATGATGACAAATAAAGCTAGACAGTCATCAAATAATTACTTGCCCTAATCTAGTACAGCTATCTAAAGGCCTAGAGAGTTGCCATCACTTTTGTTTGTTTTTTGGTAATATATAAATCACTACCTAATAGTTTCACCTCTATCTGCCTAACAGGACATAAAAGTTACTGTTAAAACAATCTTACATATTGGTCTAGCACATCTCTCTCTCCACAGAAAGTCACCAGAGATCCAAAGCCAGATAGATATATAGTCTTCAGCATAACAGTCAGCAGTTCCTCCCAAGGGCAAGACCAAAAATATCTCCTGAGCCAAATGGGAATTCCTGGCACTAAGGGTCCTCTTTATAAGCCTTTTCTGGAGATGTCCATACTAAATGGGTTACAGAAGTGTTACCTGGACAGGTTAACATAGGCTGTTCACATAATCAGCAGGCAGAGAGCAGGGACCAAGAAAAATGAACCATACTAGCAGCAAGTTTTAACAGGGAAAGTACAGAAAGCACTACCGTAGTAAATGAGTACTGAAAGCCAGAATGACAAAACAGAAACTAAATCTGCCTCCTTTACAAGTTCACAGGTCAGAAGTTGAAACCATTGACAAGATTTTAACCGAAAGATATGTGGTCCTGAGTTACTAAAACTGTCTTTGTTAAGCTCTCACAACTCTTTCCGTATACAGGGATCTATGAGAAAGCGTAAGTGGTGATGATTTTATTAAAAGAGCATGAATGCTGTAATAAAAGCTAATACCAAGCTTGGTAATTCCTGCAATCATAAATTTTATGGATAATGAAATACTCTGTACCAGAACACTCAGGCCTATGGGAGAATTAAATGTACACATCCTTTGTACTCAAAAGGATTAAGTACAAAGATGTCCTGTTTGAAGACACTAGAAAATTCTACAGCTATACTTCAAAAGTTCTGAAATAAAAAACCAGCCCACCTTAAACCTAAAAGGCACCTCAAATTGCTAAGAGCTAATTTGTTGTTGACTTTAGAAGTTGTAGTTTCTATTCTCCTTGTTAAAGGACGCTAGATAAGGCTCCAAGGAGCCATTCATACGTTAACTAAAATGATGCATCGCCAAACTATCTCCAGCACAGACTCTGAAAATCTGGAAGATAGATAGGGAAAGATTAGAAATCCAATTTTCTACATGAAAGTTGAAGAATTGCTTCTTTTTTGTTCTCCTCTGTAGGACTTTTCCACTGCCTTCCCAAATGTGGCAATTTGCAAGTATTCATATCTAGGGGACTATGTTCTAAGAGGGGAGAAAAGGCCCCAATTTTAAGACTTGAAAATGTACTTTAATTCTGTAGACACAGGTTCACCAATCAGCTAGCAATGATCTTGACCAAATGGATGACTCAGCCTAGTGGTGGAATTTTTTTTTTTTAATTTAAATTTCACATTTAAAATCCTACAAAGATGGAAGCTCCAAACATTCAATTAGAACAAAGAAAAAGCCTTGGAATAGTCATTTGACCGGATTGAACAATTTGTATTAAACCTATTTACACTAAAGTACTAGACGGTCTTTAAGGTCCCTTTCTGTTCAAATCTTCCTTAATTGTCTCAATAACTACCAGACTCTTTTTAGAGCCTTAATGGTTACAAATAGAGCCTGAATGAGGAGATTCGGAATTAAAGTTGTCATCATTAAACCTGATTAAACAGTACAGGCAGGAAGATGGCAGTAGAATAAAGCATGCTGAATTAGGGACAGGAAGAATACAAGTAGCTCACAGGCAATAAAGTAAGGATGGTGTTTGGGATATACAGCGAACAATGTCTGTCTCTTGGGTGACAGATGACCCATCCAAACAGAGGTAGACTTTGGCTTCTATTAATATGACAAACTATCTACCTGAAGTAATCAACCACCCACAGAAAAACACATGTCAACTAGAGAATGAATTCTCTAAGTGTGAATTATCCCTTACTGGCAGTTTTCCTACTTTCTATCCCAAAATAGAATCCATATACTCAACGCCGCAAAATGGTTCGACATCTCACCCCTACGTAGCGACTCTGGCACTTCTGTTCCGAACAAAAGCCGTCGTTTGAACTAGGGTGGGATCTACTCTCCATTCAGTACAGGGCTGTGGCTGTTTGTAGGGCATCCTGCAGGCTCCTACTTGGACTCTCCCCTCAAGTCACATTGTGATATCACCGTGACGGACCCTGGATATTTAATGAGCCGTCGACGGCAAGCTGATGTTATCCCGAGCCTGGGAAAGAAAGCCCGAACGCCCGGCGCAGTGCCTCAGCACGGCCGGGGGGTGGCAACGCGGGCGGGCGCCCCTCGGCCCCGGGCAGGGGGACTTCTCAGCAAGCCTTCCCAAGTTTCCCCTCCTTCCACTAAATTAACCCGCCAAGCTCCCC